GGCGTTTCCCTGTCCTGGACCCACGTTTTTGTAGCAGGTAGGAGGCAGCCAGTACTATACAGTACTCTAAGCTTTTCTGGGACATATAGTCTGGGATTCCCTAGGATTCTCTAGGATTTCAGAAGACACGTTAGGCACTTTTTTGTTGCGATTTTGCGCCATTTTGGCACGAAATTAGGTGGTGTTTTGCTGTTTCGAGTGAGTTTCGAAAAAGATGTCTGGCTGTTGGTTTCTCGCCTTGCAGCAGCAACAGCAGCAGCAGCAGCAGCGGACGACAGCACCAGCAGCGGCAGCTGCAGCTGCAGCTGCCTCCGTCCTTCACTGCTATGGTGTTTCCCTGTCCGGGACTCACGTTTTTGCAGTCCTGGCTATAGTATGTATTTTCAAGGACAACATCCTAATATATATATCTGTAGCAATTTACATATCTGTAGTATTTATCTACTTTTCTATCTATCTATATATGTATATATATATATATATATCTGTACCTCCAAGGACAAAGTCCTGGTATATGTATATATATATATAACTCCAAGGACAAAGTCCTGGACTACATATGTTTCCTATTAAAAAAACAGTCCCTGTTCAGGACACTGCCTGTTCGGCAGACTAGTTACGATTTCATCCTGGTCCTGGCTATAATATGTATTTTCAAGGACAACATCCTAATATACATCTGTAGCAATTTACATATCTGTAGTATTTAACTACTTATATATCTATCTATATATATATATGATTATATATGTACCTCCAAGGACAAAGTCCTGGTATATATATATATATAACTCCAAGGACAAAGTCCTGGACTACATATGTTTCCTATTAAGAAAAAACAAAAACGTCCCTGTTCAGGACACTGCCTATTCGGCAGACTAGTTACTGTTTCGTCCTGGTCCTGGCTATAGTCTTTATTTTAAAGAACAACATCCTAGTATACATCTGTAGCAACTTACATATCTGTAGCATTTAACTACTTATATTGTCTATGTATATATATATATATCTCTACATACATACACCCTACATTACATTACATTGCATTACATTACGTTCCAATGCAATACAATGACAGTACATTTACATTACTTTACACAAAATTACACTACATAACTTTACATTGCATCGTACATACCAGCCAAAGTCCATCTAATTGCACGAGCGGAACCATGGTAAGACATGTCCAAGCGTTATGTTTGGCTTCCATTTAGGATTTCCTTCAAAGCTTATTAGAGTGTCGTCTCGGGTCTCTTTAGGATGCTATTTAAAGTTTCATACAAATAGTTTGTTTAAGTCAGTTTCTGGTTTCTTTAGGGTTCATTTCATTTAGGATCCAAACAGACGAGAATAACACAAAAGAATTAGACTTTCATGTAGAGATTCTCTGGGATTCGCTCGGGTTTCGCGTGTCTTAAAGCTTTACATCTCTTGGAGGGTTTGCTTCAGGAATTCTTTCAGTCCTTCCGGGGTCAGCGGCAGGGGCGACAGCCCTTAAATATTCGATATATTCCATATTCGATCCAAAATGGGGGTCAGTTGACAGATGGATCCATGGTTGGACTCATCTGAAAGATTCTGAAAGGATACATCGCCGGAGCCATGTGGTGCCGTGTGGTGCCGTGTGGTGCCGTGTGGTGTGTGGTGGGCGCACTTGAAGGTCGGATTCTTCGCATCCTTGAGGTTGAACAAGAGGGACCTCGCAGCTCGACAGCTCCACAGCTCGACAGTTCGACAGCTCAGTTCGGATTTCTGTGGCTCTGAGACACCCGAGCCGAGCTTGGTTCATGTATGCCTGCAGATATCATAAAATATCATAAACTGCGGCAGTTTAGAGATCAAATAAGAAGAAGAATCCACATAATTCACTGAGAATATCAAAGACATATGGAATCAGAAACAGAATTTGATCATTTGACATATTTGACGCACCTCCTTCTTCGGCATTGCCTTATGGAGTTCCTGGCACAAATCCAGCTGCTCCCTGTCCACGGGGCCAAACACTGGGCACCTCCTCGATTTCTTCCGCCAGCTTCACTGGGTCCTTCGCTTTCTGATTCGGCAAAAAAAATCGGACGTATCGATATGTATCGAAATGTATCGATTAAATTTGAAAGATTCAGATGTATAAAGAATTTATAAAGATGTGTTTGAAATGGCTTCAAATTGCCTTAAGGGTCGATTTCCCACCCCATTTCCCACGACTTTTGACAGAAAGACGCCCGTTTCATCCCATCTTCCGCATCGGTCCCGCATCCCATCTCTGGTCTCACCTTCACCTGGCATCCGAAAAATCGAAGCTGCGCCAGCTCAGCCAGGCTGCGCCAAGCGCCTGCAACCTCTTCGAAGTCATCTTTCCCAAGGGCTTCCATCAACTTGGCACGTACCTGACATGACCATCGAATGGGGAATGACCATATTAATCCATATTATCCATATGGGGAATGGTCACGGTATGTCATAGAGTGGTCCATTTGCAACTTGGATCTGACTGGGTTCATCTGGGTTCAACGATGCTCACCGTCTCAGGTCTGGAGAATCTACACTAATGTCACCAATGCCCGGGTCGCAGACAAACTTGTCACAGAACAAACGGCCTGTCATGTTCCCCCCACAGCCTTGTCTCTGTAAGCGTCATCCTTCTTGGCATCCCCCTGGCATCGCAAGTTGACAATCAGAAGACATTCAAATCTTGAAAAACTAAGTATGAAAAACCAGCATCTGGACATGACATGGTGACATGATTCATGATGATCCATGAAGATCCATGATGATCCATGAAGATCAAGTCCGCGACCTGCGAAGCAGCAGCAGAAGCAGCAGACGCTACTGACACGTTCGAGGTCGCCTTGGCATGTGCTCCGCTGCGCATCCTGTCCGACCTGTCCTGTTTCCCGGTGTTTCTCGGACCCAGGCCCGTTCCAAAGGACGTGCCTTCAACGCAAAAGGACAGCAACGTGGAAGCAACTTGGCTTCCAAAAACATGATGAAACATGATGAAACTACGGTGACATACAGTAACGTACAGTAACGACATGTAACGACATAGAAATCCTTCGTGGACCCTGCGAAAACACTTCAGAATTCGGATGTTCCACGGATGTTCCACGGATGTTCCACATCCTCGCCTCGGATCCAGATACCATCGCTTCCGATTCCAGGTCCTGTGAAAAGGACCTGGAGGCCAAAGACAGACCTGCCATCTGCGGTCGATTTCGGTTGGATGTCGAAAATGGGAGCCAGTTATCTGGCCAAAACTGTTGCCAAAATTGTTGCTCTCCCAGGATGCATTGCAGAATTCGGTTTTTTTTCTGTGATGTTGGAACATGTTGGAACAACTGTTTTTTTCAACATGGGACAAGTGTCACATCTGACGAAGTGCCCAAGTGCCCTGATCCCATTAAAAAAAACTGCCATGTCTTGCCTGGCGAAGTGCCCTGCAAGCAGAACATGGACGGAGATTGGTTGACGGAGATTGACGGAGATTGGTACATGTGGAGGACAAGCTACTCAGCTACTCTTCCTCCTCACAATGATAGTAACAATACCCACAGTCATAATGTATGTCATACTCCGACTGCTGGTACTCATATTCATCATATACCCACAAGACTCAGAATACTCATAATACTCAGTAGACATCAGTAGGCAGTGTCGAATATGTACTCATAATACTGGTCTTCATCTCCTTCTTCATATCTTCTTTCGGCAGAATGATCAGCTTATCAGATAGGATGTTCCCCACCTCGCTGACATTGGAGTTGCAGCGCCTCAGTTGCCTGAGCGAAAACAGCAAAAGCCACAGCCATGGCTGTGGCCTCTCACTTTCGCTTAAAATCACCACAGGTTACCGGCAGCAGAGCTGAGACAGGTTGCTGATCCACTTGAGATGAACTTCCGGGTTTCCCAGCAACTCATCTGTGGAAGCTTTTCGTTTTTTGAAGTCTTGCCTGCACACTTTTTCTGGCGAAGATGCTGCCATGAATGTGAATGGCATGGCATGGCATAGCCATGGCATCATGCTCTGGTCTTTTGACTGAAAACCATACGTGGCCAACATCCGCAGCCAACATCCGCAGCCATCCTAATGGCCATCCATGGCGCCTCCAGGCCAATTCCAAGGTCTTTGCTTTGCTTCGGATCTCCGGGTCCTCCACGGATTTCGCCATGCCATGGAGCGATTTACCTCGGCGCGGCCAGGCAGCGGCGCATGCGTCCAGGCAGCTGCCTGGTGGCAGCCCCTGGCAGCCCGGACCAATCAAGGTCTCTTTTAAGACGTCGGTTGGAAGACCTGCCACGGCCACACCACGGCCACACATGCCACACACATACCACGTATCGGTGGTTCTCATACCAGCAGATATGATCAGATATGCTGATATCCGGCAGAAACTACTCAGCAACCAAAACATACCAAAACATGTTTCGCTTCTGAGGTCTGATCTTTTCAAGGACTGCAACTGATCCAGGGCGACCAGAACCTTCCAGCAGAGTCAAAATTCTGCGAGTGGTAGTCTCAAATATCTCAACATGCCAACTGGGGAAAAAAACAATTTCCCAGAATGGATATGCAATGTTAGGGTTCACAAATTAGGGTGCCAGTACCAATTCACCTTGAAAATTGCTCTTTTCTGGCATTACACCATCCATTTTGCGGGTGAACAATTTTGAGCCATACCCAAATGCCAACTGGACTGGAGCAGAGAAAAGAAAACGTGGAGTATGTGGAGTGACCAAAGGGAATGAGCCAACCTGATCTCGGTCTTTGGTCGCACTGTTGTCCAGAATCACCTTCAAACGCTTCACCGTGGCCATGAGGGCCGCCTTCTCCTCAACGCTGCCACACCAAAACCAATCCAAAACCACCAAAATCCACCAGGGACTTTCGGACGTCCAAACGAATGGAGAAAACTTGGAAAACTTGGAGAAAATGGAGAAAAACCAGGGGGAAACAGACAGAAAAAACCGACAGATCTGACAGGATCTGACAGAAACAGTCATTTTTCTACAAAAAACCCTTGTGGAGCTCCGAGCCAAGCCTGTGGATCCATGGAACCTGCCGGAAACACAGTCTGGTCATCTAACGATCTGAAATATATAAAATATATCTTATGCTTACAGAATCTTACACGAATCTTACAGAAAACATCACAAGCAGCAGGCAGAAGCACCTTCCATCTGTCAGCCCTGTCCGGGCCAAAAATCTGGGATCTGAGTTGCTCAAGTTCAACCGCTTCAACCGGTGCTCGGGGTGTTTTTGTGGATTTCCCGGTGTCCATGTCGTGTCTCGCCATGACTTTCTGTAGCTCGACTCTATGCCTGAGCCTGGGCACAGATATGCCGTGATATGCCTGAAATTCCCACAAGGCCTTCACAAACTCTTCAGGAAATCATATCAAACATATCAAATCATCTGTAAAACTCCAACATCCATCAACGATCATCAACATCTATCACCTGGGGCATGAAAATCCGAAGCTGCCACAGCTTTCTCACCCCACGGCGCGGCGGCGCGGCGGCACGGCGGCGCGGCGTTCAGCCAGCAGCGGTCCAGCTTCGGGACAGGGTGCTGGGAGCTAAGAATCTAGCGGCTCTATGCTCGGACGTCTGAGCAGAGAAACACCGTAACAAAGGCCTCCGAAAAAACCATGAACATCTAAAGGAAAAAGAAGATATCAAATCACAACAAATAGTCTTTATCATTTCAGGGTCCTTTTTCAGTGGAATTCCTTCAGTTGGACCGGTGTTTGTCGTTTGTTTCCACCTCGGTGTTCTTTAAAAGAGCCAAATCAAAAAGGACTGGCGCATGGGGCGGACTTCTTCCGCGCCATGACCTTCGAATCTTGGTGGCGAATCTTGGTGGAGCTCAGAGAATGGTGAAGAAATGGAAGAAATGGAAGAAATGGGACAAACATGGACAAACAAGATCTTTCTGAAGACTATAGTCTATAGATGTCTATAGTATAGTGATACTATAGTGATACATAGTGGTACTATAGTGGCATTGTTGCAAGATGTTGGAACTATAGGCATGACTTTGTCAGATAACATGACAGCACAAATCCAGCAGTTTCGCAGAGAAAACGAGTGAAGTCGTCTCTCAAACTCTTAGTTGAAAGATGTCTGCATTCAGAGAAATTTGGATAAGACATGGAACATTTCAACCCAAGCCTACCAGCAAGATTCCCTGAAAAAGCGATCTGCACAAATGGCAAACCGAGCATAGGGGGCGCTCAGCCACAGCAAATGCTCCTGGAGAGCTTTCCAGTGGAGACGGCGACTTGGTTGGAAAGTTCTGTACGCTTTGGGGCTGAAGAAATTCAAAGAGTAGGCTGATGGTGGAAGATGTTTCGAACGTCCAATGGCTTGCCTTTGCTGGAAAGGCGTGGGCGTAGGAAAGCTACTGACACAAGTACTGACACAAAAGGAGTTCGGACACGGATCGATCTTGGGATTCCGGGTGGGGTGTTGTTAAGCCCCTCCGGTCACAGGTTGCTGGAGCCGCCCACGGAGCCGCCCACGGAGCCGTCCTAATGGGCCTCGAATGACCTTGAACGGTCCGCAGGCATTCCCCGCTTCGCAGATCCCAGATCTTCACGCAGCCATCGAAGGTGCCCGACACGGCGCGTTCCTTTGCCTTCAGATTTCACGAAACATTGGCGAAACACCGATGTTTAACCTTTGGATCATTATTGGAGAAAAATGGGAGAAGCAGAAAATCCTGGGTTCAAAGGAGGGGAATGTGATCACCTCATCCATTCTGGGAGGAACATGTATGACCAACAAGGTGATTTGTGGCTTGTTCTGCTGAAGGGCTAACCCAAAATGGTAACATATATGGGGAAAATGATGATGAACCAGATCAACCTTGGGAGGATATTTGGACACTCACCAGGATCCATGTCCACATGCTTGTTGGCATTGGTCTAATAGTCTAATCACATCCCCAACTGGCCCAACTGGGTCATAACATCTCTTATGGTGACTATCTCCATCATCTTGATTTTGATTATAGCCAGAATATATCGGAATATGCCATGATATGTCATGATATGTCATGATATGTCATGATATGTCATGATTCTGACTGATTCTGACTGATTTTGACTGATTCTGATGATCACCCCCAATATAACTTGATGGCTGTATCCCCATGGCCACTTCCAGCATCGCTGAGATCACGGCCCAGTCAGCATGGATGGCCCAAACAAAGCCGACGTGCCGGGCAAACCTACCGCCAGTCATCTCCAGGATATCACCATGTGATTCCTATGATCATCAAATCATCAAAGTGTCATCAAAAATCATGAGATGATCAGATTCTCATTGGATACTCTGAAAATGTGTCTGATTGGATTGCAGCAAACCCCCAAATCCAATCAGGTTTCTCATCATTGTCCTCTTCCGTAAACGTCCTGGAACCATGCTAAGATCAACTGATCATCATCATCATCATCATCATCATGATCATCATCATCATCATCCCCATTGAAATGGCAATTTCAACGGGGTTTTATATTTCCCATCAACAAAACATTAACAAAAAGTTCAAGCTGTCCATCGAAATTCCATATGTTGTCCATCGAAAATCCATATAGAATCCTAATTGTCCATCAAAGTACCTATATATGTGCCAAAATTACCACATCTTCCATCAAATATTCCGAAAAAATCTCCTATCTAGTAATCTAACATATTGAAAATGGTCCATTTATAGGTTATTTACCATTGATTTACCTATAAAAAATGGATAAAAAATGGTGATTCTCAGCCCACCATGGGCCTAGCCAGACACTCACCGGACTCCAAGCGCCAGAGGGATAGGCTGCCATCGTCCGAGCCAACCAAGGCCCTACTGCCGTGATCCTTCCATTGCCTGAACCAGGAGAAAATGTTGGGAAAATGTTGGGAAAATGTTGGGAAACTCTGGGAAAATGTCTGGAAAAACACCTGGGAAACATGTTGGAATAATGAGTAAAATTGGAACTGAGAGACTTCATGAACGGATGCACAGCTCGGCTGAGACACGAACGCCACAATGCTTCGCAATGCGCTAAAGTGGGCCAAAAACACCTCCAATTTGGGACCCCGGGACAGGATAGGAATTGATATCAGGGTAAGTCGAGTAAGTGCTATGTGTTGATCCATCAATCAATAGCATACATGTTATAAATATATCTGTGTGTATATAATTATATAATTATAATTATATAATATAATATAATATTATATTATATTATATAAAGTTCTATATATGTCATTGTGATGTTTATTTGGTGTCTTTGTGAGAAAAGTTTCATCGACGGTATGTCATCAGACATTCCAAACAGCGGTCTTCCAACGCAACCAGCTCTGCCCCAAGCTCTGCTCGACTTCGGCACAGCCTTCGGACTCCTAAGGGTTGGCAGCTTTGGAATGATCTGCCTGGTTGAGGAGCTTTAAAGAGCTTTACCCTCTGGTAAACTAACGTAACTATGGAAAATCAACATTTTTAATGGGTAAATCTACTATAAATGGCCATTTTCAATAGCTATGTTAAATTACCAGAGGGTAAGTTCCGGTTTAGGACTCATCATGTTTCATCTCTTTATGATGTTGAAAAAATATGAAAAAATGGTACCACCATCTACCCAATAACACTTCGGATAGATGGAGCTGACAGATCTGAGCTGAAAGCTGTGAAGGTGCTGAAGGTGCTGAAGGCTGTGGGCTGATCTGCACCAGGAGTGGTGCAACACCCAATCCCAGACCTATCCCCGACTTATCCTGGAAACTGTCAACAAGGCATCAAGCATCAGCATAGCTGGCATAGCTGGCATAGCGACCCAGCCTCTGCACAATCGCCTTGTGCTTCAAAATGCCAATAGATGAGATGGCCGTCCTGCGCGCATTCTACAGCTTCGCCTCCGTGCGCACACATCCAATTTGCACACCCAGACGATCTCATATAAATATTATATGTATTATACATATACATATACATATACATATATTATACATATTACATATATATATATAATATACCTGTCATCTGAGGATGAACGAAAACACTGGCTATACGCAGCGATTTTGACTTTTAGGTTTCAGGATTTAGGTGATTTAAGATGTTTTAAGATGCTTTAAGGTTTATCGGTTTATCGTTTTGGAAAGTTTTAAAATGGCTAGCCCTACGCAGGGATTTGAGCATGTCAAAGGATATGGAGATGCAGGATCGTGGGCAAACCTCACGTGTGTGGGAAAAAAAAGAAACTCTGCCTATCCATTGTCAACCAATCTCAACCAAAAAGGGATCCATACATATGGCTCCATATCTATATACATATCTATATACATATCTATATACATATCTATATACATATCTATATACATATCTATATACATATCTATATACATATCTATATACAATCTATACTATATACATATCTATATACATATCTATATACATATCTATATACATATCTATATACATATCTATATACATATCTATATACATATCTATATACAATCTATACTGATCCATACTATCCATAACTTCTAACAGGAAAAAAAAGGTCCTCCAATCCACTCACGGCACGCCGGCCCAGGGCATCAATGGCCATCCCGGACACCGCTGTGCCGCCATCCCTGGCAGCAGTGGCACCAGCTTCAAAATCTGCCGTCACCTGCGGTGAAGTGACGGCAACGATTTATAGAGATCGGCATTCCACAGTTTGATATAGAAACTGGGATGGGGTGCTGAATATTTGGAATTGTGATGAGCTATGTATGAGTTAAGTTATGTTTGCCTTCTGAAGTCTCCAAAGAAGCTTTAAAAATTGTGGTTACATATGGTCACATGTAAATGTTACATGTAAATGTCACGTTTCTTCCGAAATCTCCAAATTCTGGTCCCTGGAGTCCATGAATTCCATGAATTCCATGAATTCCATGGTTCACGGTTCACTTCGATTCGGAGCCTGAGAAGCTAAGTCCCAAGAGCGCACCACTCCGTTGCGCAAACCAATGTAGGACCTGTCACAGCTGCGACAGCTGCGACAGCTGCGACAGCTGTTGAATGACGGCAAAACATTTCGATTCGACGTGCCTCTTCCCAGGCCAGTCCACAGCAAGAGAATCCACCTCAGTCGCCGGTCGCTTCAAGTTCGGAACATCTCATGACTCCCATAGTGGCCATAGTATGGCCATAGTATGGCCATAGTGTTCCCAAGCTCTTCCCAAATGGCCCAAAAAAAAGCGGCCATCGCATGCCACTCAATCCACTCAGCAGCTGGCTGTGACGTTGCAGTTTGAGATGCCGCTGCATCGGAAGGTCGTGTCCTTGAGACACCAGAGCTTCACCGAGCCGTCCGTGCTTCCACTCAAGGCCTCGGGATTGATGACAATGAACACCATCATCAATCATACCTATAATATTAGTATTTATATTAAAACATATAATATATATATATATATATACGGTATATATTATAAATATGTAGATATAGGTAGATATATGTCATACAGGTCTCCGGTAACAACAACTGGAAATGTGATGTGATTTAAATGATGTGAAAAAATGTCCCAAAAAGAAACTCCTGATGCCACGAACTCTGGCTTTTTCATCCATCCGAAACAATGAGTGCTTCCTCAGCATGGGCATCGTCACATGAAAGGCTCCCCAAATCTATGCCAGCAAGAACATTGAAAAATATGAGGTTATCAATGTATCAATGGATATCAATGGATATCAAGGATATATGATATATCCGTGAAGATGGAAAAAACAGTGATTAAATGGTGATTATATTGGGAAATCTTCCAAGTCCAGCATTTCCTTCGAAAGCCCAGCTGGCCCAGCACCTGCATGTTTTCCCAGTCGACATCGAGGCAACAAGCCTCAAAATACAACGGTCCTCCTGTGAAAAATAGGCAAATGATGGCAAATGAACACAGAGTTCAATGCGGAACCGTGAAAAAAAAACATGAGTAAAAACTCTTCGTTGGAAGATGTTTGGGCTGACATCGACTGACCAGCAATGCCTCTTCGGAATGGGCCACGATGCTGCTTACACACTCACACTTGCCTCGCAGCAGCCACATCTGCGCAAATGTCACTCGGACCACAACAGTTTCCAGTTTCACTCCAGTTTAACTCCAAATCTTCAATATCCTCAGTTCAATAAACAGTATAACATAGAATCACATAGAATCACATACTATGACATGGTATAACATGGTATAACATAGTATGACATGGTATAATTTCTATCCAATCACTATACCACAACAAACAATTGGAAATCATCTATACGTCGTTATATCTATCAAAATGGATATCCATTGTTGTCTAGACATTGTCAATCCTTGTATCTATCAATCCCCATAATCTATCTCTATCCACGATCTGAGGCTCCAACCAATGTCCCACAGTTGCATTCGACCATCGAAGGTGGTGCACAGAACACCTGGCGTTTCCGCAGCTGTTTCAATGGTGTTTTTTATGGTGTTGAATCCTAATGTTTCTACCATAAACACCATAAACATCCATGAACATAAAATTTCAACATCGTCAACGGATTCTGTTACTGATGGCTTCTCCCGTTCTCGCTGGGCCGACGCATCGTCTTCCAATCCACGCACATGGCCTCGATGCCCCAAACAACTCCGATCAAGGTCACCAAAGTTTGGAAAAAAAAGGGAAAACGAAAACATAGACATCTTGCACCATCTTGCACCATCTTGCTACCTGCTACCTGCCACATCCGTACCTTGGGTATTTTCCACGTTGATCACAACTCAATCCACGCGAGAACGCGGACAAACAGCCGCTGACACAACTGTTCAGCAGGGTTTTCGCACTGTTCAGCACTGTTCATCGAGTTTTCCGGCCGGAAATGTCAGCACTCTTCAGCCACTCAGCTTCTGAGCTGCGGACCAGAATGGCAGAAGACACCGACAAAGGGAGCTCCTTCACCTGGTCACGGCCAGATCGGGGCTGCGGCTGTAATTTCGATGATTGAAACATATTGTGCCGTGAACTCGTGAGAAATTCATGAAAAACTCATGTCAACTGAGTCAACTCTTTCATGATGTTTCCATCTCATTTAACACACTTTTCTGATTTTTGTTCGGTTCTTTTCGGTTCATTTGACTGCGATGTTTCAAGCGACACCCAGGTGACCCGACCTGCTCGGCATCCGCCGGATTCCAAAGTCTCATGCCGCCTGAGCTTGAGAAACAAATCATATCGAAACATGAAACAACTTTTTTATAAGAAATAAATTAGAAAATAATAGAAATAACATGTTCAACTAAATTATGAACTTATGAACTATGTCAAAATATATCAATATATATATATATCAATATATATATAGAATATACATATATATATATATACATATTCTTTTATCTCTTATGAATTTCCTAAAGCTGATGATCCTAGGTCCTAGCAATCTGATTCCAGCACCTGGTCGCGGCAAACCCCGCCTTCACTGGCTCCAGTGAGGATGTGCTGCAACTTGGGTTCCCTATACGACAGAACCACGTGAAGCACTACGGGTCCAGCTTCAACGAACCAGTCCTGGCAAACGAACAACTCCAAGCAGAGCTCACTTCACAATCTAAACATATCTAAACAATGGTCATCACAAGAATTTGGAATCCATTTTGACAAATTTGGAATTGAATCGCTGGCAACTGATCCACTTATCCACCATCACTACCATCATCATTTGAAAATCCATAAAGCACCAGAGGTCATCCCAATATCATCCCAATATCCCAAGATCTACGCGGCTGTCCTCCAGGGTGGTGTCGTTGGGCAACATTTCTCCCAGCCAAAAGAGTTGGATCGCCGAGACGGGAGCCGAAGTGCTGCTTTCCAGTCTCGCCTTGATGGATCCCACCTGCTTCGGCAAAATGATCCACATCGAAATCACAAACAGTCATAAAGACATTTAAAGACATTTAAAGACATTTAAAGACATTTAAAGACATTTAAAGACATTTAATGACATTTAATGACTTAAGATTCACTTCAGTTGAGATAGTTATAATTAGTTATACGTATACCTAAGATTTCAAAAGATTCAGAATGATTCAGATGGATGATATCTCTGGTTTAACTGTTTTTTTGATCGGACTTCGGTGATTTGGGCTAGACAGCTACGTGACCGCGCCTTCTCACCAGGTGCCACCACCAGTCGAGCGAAGTCCCGGCCACGCATAGATTGAAAAATCGCCTCCAGCAGTGGATCAGTTGGTCCCAAAACATCCCAGATTCGGATATTGAATCCAATTGATATCAATCTATGGCTGTTTTTACTCAAATGTGATGATTCATAAAAAAGAACAAAGAAACTGTGTCTGATGTTCGGAGAAATTCCGGATGATCATGATGATCATGTTCATCATGGGATGAGGATTATGTGATTTCTTTTTATTATGTGATTATGTGTCATGGAACCAACTGCAACCTGCAACCAACTGGCGATCGAAATCTGCAATCCGTCGGCCCCACCTTATAAGAGCCTTCAGGCACTTCTCCAAAGCTCTCCATCCTGGCACAACCGTCCACGGACCGTTCTCCACTGTGATCTTCGTTAGATTTCTCAGTTAGATCCAGGGTGTTGAAGATTTTGAAGGATCAAGTCCGTAGTAAGACTCTTGGACCTGTTTTTCAAAATGTGTTAAATCCTGTTTTTCGATGTATTTCTTGTTCTTCGAAGTTCTTGCAGCGATTTTCTGAGGTAAGTCCCGGACGCTGTCAGAAGTGAATCCCGCGAAGGAGACATTGAAGAAAGGCTCATCGACGCAGAGCCTGACGCGATTCTCTGGGTCGAGCCAATTCGTCCATTCGGTCCATGCAGTCCATGCGGTCCATGACTTGGTGTGAGACACTGAGTTTCCATCTGACTGAGAACTTCTGAGTTTCCAAATGTAGATCTTGAAAGGAACTGAAAGGAACATCAAGGAACCAATGACGCAAAGTCCTGCAAAGTCCTGCCAAGTCCACACTGAGTTCCCATCTGGGTGTGGCCGTTGAAACGGAACTCTGAGAGATCTGCAGCGGAGCTTCAGATTTTAACTCAGCAAGGGCGTGGTCCTACCATTTACACTGCCATCACTGCCATCACTGCCATCACACATTATCACGCCGTGGCAGTTCCACGGGAAACCACCCAAAAACATCAAAAACTGATCTGGAAGAATCATAAGAATCAGATGCAGATCTTAGCAATGATTTGTTGGGCAAATTTGTTGGACAAATCAGGGCAAGTGCACATGAAATCTTCCCACTCAGAATGACTGAGCGAATCATGGGGAAATGCTGAAGGGACCACCACTGGATCCACATGGACCATGCCGGCACCAGTCCCTTCCCCGTGTCGCTCCCAGGCCTTAAGGGCAGCCGCCTGCACATGGAATGGCTTCGATGGTCAACATGTCCCATCTTCAATCGTAAATTCATTTCAAACATGTTCAATCTTCAACAGTCTTCAACAGTCTTCAACCGTCTTCAACCTTCAGCATTTGAAAAATTGAAAAGCTCAAACTTTTCAGCACAGCTGGCGCCTCCATCGAGGCTGCCTGGCTAAAGCGTTTGGCCTTGGCAAATCCAGCGTTTCGACGACGTCGTTTCGATCGTTTCGACAAGGTCGATTCTCCGAGGACGGCACCATGAATTCGTAGGGATCCTCAGGACGTTCTCGGAGCAGCAGCTCGAAGAGGCCGTGCATGAACTGCCAAGCATTGCCAAGCATTGCCAAGCTGCCAAATCGAAAAGACAACGAAAAAAACATGCATCCCTCGGATCCATCCCTCGGATCCATCCCTCGGATCCAATTCATCATCCATTCATCCATTCATCCGGATCCAATTCATCGTTTCCAAGATGATATGGAAATGATATGGAAATGGCTGAAAATTCTGGCTCAATTTGCTGCCTTGGAAGATCTCCAAATGTGGTGCAAAGTCAAAAAACAGCAGGAACTTGGTACTTCAAAGGGGTTTGGTGTTTGACTTTAATACCTTGATCTCCTGGTAAATCCCAATCAACCATCCCCAGTTTCACCAGAAATAGGTGCTATCAACATGCAACCATCCTAGAGTGGAGAGTTATGGGCCATATAACTATAACATCAAATAACATCAAATAGCATCAAATAACATCATATAATCATAGTATAGCATGGTTTACCACTGGATTTGACCTAGTTAGATCATGTTAGATCATGTTAGATCCACATGCGCAGAAACCTGCGCAGAAACCTGCGCAGTGCCTCATGTAGTCGATGAGTGTCCAAATAGGCTCTGGCATCTGCTTCTGCGTCGCGTTTCGGACCCGATCGGCCTGGAGAGCCCATGATGGGAGAGATCCAGAGTGGATCGGTCAACGGGGCATATCTTCCACAAACGGGGCATCCCAGTGGTTTCATTTTTCGGATTTCCACGTGTTTCAAGATGTTTCAAGGTCCATCCAAAGCCATCCAGTTTGCCGGTTTCGCGGATGTTTCAAGGTCCCCATCTTGGTGCACGTCGGCGTCACAGCGGATGTGATGAAACATGATGAAACATGATGAAACCGGTCGCCTGCAAAGGATTTGGACCTCACTGAGCTGAGATTGAAAGTGATAAATCCAGGCCGAATCAATCTGTCTGGCACTCAAAAACTCACAACTGCTTATTCGCATGTTTAGCATGCTTATACCTTACCAGTTCTAAAACTGCTATTCTTCCAGTAGTTTACAATGGTTTACACCTTTCATATCCTTTAACTTTAAGATTCTTCGGGCATGGCGTAAGAAACTCGTGAAACTCGGCTCAAAGCCTTGTTTCACCTCCGATCTGAAAGGTCACACTCATCTGACGCCTTGATACAGCAGGCGAAGCTGGTTTATATAGCCAGCTGATTCACCACGTTTTTTTCACACGCTGATTGTAGTTCGAATCAAAAAAAAAACGTAGCAATCAGCTCGAATCATGCGATTCATCAAGAATCCATCAAGAAATCCTGATGAGATGAAAATGATGAAAAGTTCATCGTGATGAAATCATGATGAAAACACGGTGGATTCAGTTCAGCTTCATCTGAGGTTTGGAACCCGTCCCTGCCCTCCAAAGGCATCTTGCAAACACCTCGCCGGCAGTGAGACGACGGGAGACATCGCTGAGACATCGCTGAGACATCGCTGAGACATCGCTGAGTAGAAGGCCGTCTTCCAAAAGATCTCCCAGGACTGCATGGTTATTTGTCTTCCTGGCACCATTTCACCGATTAGGAAGATATTTTCTATGATTTTCTCATCTTTTCTTTGTTTTTGATAATTTTGATATTCATGTGATTCATGTCATCGATTTCTTTCGATTTCTATTGATTTCTCTTTATTTTCCATTTGAGTCTTCCATTGAAGTGACATCAAATTCCTTCAACTTTTTCGTGTCATTGTGGTGCAAAGACATGTCCAGAACGCCCTAAGAGGCCAAGGACGTCAATGCGCAGGGGCCAGGGGCCCGGTGGCAACCTGCCAAGATACCAAGATGATAGGCATCTGAGTCGAAATTCACAAAATATGGTGGATCAAGAATGATCAAAATATTGGATGCATTGCATGTCATGATATTCATCAAATGATTCGAATAGATTCTGAATAGATTGATAAAGAGCTTGCCACCTAGATATTCACAACATACCAAATGAATTCAAATGACATATCATCATAATTCATCATAATTCATCATACCACCCTAATCCGTAGTCTAATCCTCCTACTCTCTCTCTCTCTCTCTCTCTCTCTCGCTGCGTGCCTAAAGGGTGCTGAGCACGGTAAAGGGCTCTGCCGCCGTGTCGGCCCCGAGCGTACTGAGAGGATGCTGCCTCAGATTCGGTCGATTCAGGGTCTAAAAATGTCTAACGGATCTAACGGGTCAGTGGTCGGTGAATGGTCCGCACTGCCTTCGGGCAGACCCACATAATCCAGGATGGTCAGCTCCATATCCTCAGGAGAAGAAACAGACTGGTCCGACTGGTCCTTTTCACGGTTTGATTACTTGAAATGTCTTGAAATAGTCAAATTATAATTTTTAGATGTTTTGAAGATTGGGAACAAAATTTTAGATGTCTGGTGATTCTTCCTCCCAAACAGCACCTAAAGACTAGGTATGTGCGGTTTCGTTGTGCGGTTTCGTTGAGGCCAAGACACGGATGTAAGGCTGTGGCTTCCTATGGAAACCAAGGCGCTGTTCAAAGTTCTTTGATGTTCAAAAAAGATATGGGAAACTTGTCATGTCTTTCAGTCAAAACTCCAACAAAAAGCTGTGGTTGGTAATCTGGTAACCATTAACCATTAACCCATTAACATCCATTAACCATAACTGCCATAACTGCCATAACTGCCATAACTGTGACGATGACTATAGTGACTATAACCATAACCGCCATGACGAATGGCTCAAATGATGATTCTCCCCTTTTTGGGAAGCTAAGTTCCGCCCCAGTTTGGCGCCTTGAGCGCCCTTGGGGTCCAGAACTGCGGAGATTTGCTGTGTCGGTTACCATGAAATGTCAATCATCGTGAAACAACGCATTGATCAGATTCACAAGTTATATAAATTATTGTAGTATATGACAGTATATGTATATGTTATATCAAGTTATATCAATTCTAATTTATCAATTATGAATAATTAATTATCCCCATGTATCCCTAATTATCCCTATGTTCTGATCTGATTTTGTTTCATGACCCATTTCAACGCTCAAAAAAAAATATGACAAAATTGGTGTCACTCCCAGAGGTTTCGCCACTTTTTTTACGCCCGTCGCCACATTAGGAGCTGGACCTGGGATCGATCCCAGATCCCAGCGACCAGGTCTTCGTTGGCTCCATGGTTTGATTTCTTTGGTTTAGAAAAACTGGTTGGAAAAACTGAGATGAAAATTGAATGACATGAATGTGACATGAATGTGACATGAATGTGACATGAATGTGACATGAATGTGACATGAATGTGACATGACCAATTCAAAAATCATGATCTTACCCCAATATCTGGGCTATATTCACGCTATATTCACGTAACCTATCTCGGAAAGTAGACTTCAAAACGGCGAAATCACGCCATCGCCGAGTCCTGAGGTTTCCGCGATGAACTTTCCTTCATTTCGCTCCTACGTTCGCATAGAAAATGATCCGAAAATTGGGAGAAAATTGGGCGAAATCCGTCCCCCGAATCTTTGAAACTCTGAATCTGAGAGATCTGATGGAATTCACACATAATTCACATATGGAATTCGTATGGATTGACTTCGTGTGTGCCACAAATGAATCCCTCACAAATCGTGCACCAAAAATCATTCACAATGGCCTTGCAGCCGTTGCAGCCGTTGCAGCCGTTGCAGCCGTTGCAGCCGTTGCAGCCGTTGCAGCCGTTGCAGCTGCAGCTGCAGGTGCAGGCTCGCCCCAGGCGCTGCCAACAGCACCATCCTGTCCGTGCGAGATCAAAAACGACACGATTTGACAATGACCAAACAAAAAAATATCAAAAACAATCTTTCATATCCTTCATCCTCAAAACAAAACTTCGAAATTCTTTGGATTCTGAGACATTCTGAGACATTCTGAGACATTCTGAGACATTCTGAGACATTCTGAGTCTTTGTCCAGCCACCAATGGGCGAAGAACTGCAGTCCTTGCGGCCAGCTGCCTTGGGAGGCAACGTCTTGGCCCCTGACGCTGATGCCGTGGCTGCCACGTTCTGCGCCTTCCCCCAGGGTACATTTCGATGAAACTCTCGCGTCGGATCAAAAATAAGAAAGAAAAACAACGGAAGTTAATAATGATCATAGGCTAATCATAGGATATCATAGGTTCAAATAGAAAAAACTCTAGTTGTACATAGTTGTACATAGTTGTACTCATATAAAACTCCGTATAAAATACATAAAATGACATAGAATGAGATTTCACAAATGAAATGATTGGAGTTCCCACCTGCCCGGCATCAAATGGTGCCATCGGCCGCGGCGCCAGCGGCGCCAGCGGCGCCAGCGGCGCCAGCGGCGCCAGCGGCGCCGGCGCCATTCGTGGATCCCAGGGACCGGGCCAGCGAGGCCAACCTGGAGTTTCCCCGTTGACCCCGTTGGGCGGGGAAAGTCATTGGATCTTTGGATACTTCGGGATCTCCATATATATCTCCATCTCATTTTTTCCGAGTTTTTTCATGATATCCCATGTAATAGCTCTGGAATAACTTGTGGGATAAATAAATATATATATATATATCCAGTGGCAGATACGTCAGGCAGAAAATTGCCAGGGGAAAACCTGAAGCACAAAATCTTGCGCGCCTGGATAGTGTGGTGGCCTCAGAATGGAAAGAGAAGATGCTTGCTTCCCCAGTGGTATAGGGATGTTTTTCTGAGAAAGAAATGATGCATTTTCTGTGAAATGATGGTAACGTGCGCATCAATTTGCTGCTTCATCCGACACTTTGGATTCTATGAGTTTCTATGCCCGCGCTCTTCGTCAATCTTAATGCCGTTTGTCCTGTTGGTCGACAGGCATGCTCAATGATCAGGACAAATTTTGTTACATCTCAACCTTCCCCAATAATTGCAAAGCCTAGGCGAAGCGTACGCTAGTAAGCTTGATCAAATTCGCATAGGAACTGCTTATGCCAGAAGGCATGAGCATTCTTACGCAGGAGCTTACGCATTGAAGTACCTTACACCACCTTACGAAAACCATGGTTTTGCTTGTGCAAGCCAATCATGTGGACACAACTCTTCAAAATCTGTAGAGGTTTCTGCGGATTTTCACCTCCACGAACTGAACTCGATCAGGTTAAGACCCGGACGGATACGGATGTGCCGGTAGTGCATGCGGCAGATGGTGCAGCGGTGGTGCCATGTGTGGCACCGGATGCACCAACGGATGCGGTGCCACCGGTGCCACCGGTGCCAGGGGTGCCGGTGCCACTGCAACCGGCTGTGGCAGGGCGGCACGAACTGGAACCGGAGGTGGTGGCCCTGCGAAGCGACGTGTCATCTGTGATATGAGATTCTATGTTTCCATATCATATCATATCATATCATATCATATCATATATATATATATAGTGTGTGTGTGTATACATATAGACATACATGTAGATATACAAATATGTAGAATCAATATGAAACATATATTCTGATGTGTTTCTTGCCTATGAAAAGAACAACTGAACAGATATGATTTTCTGTATTGCTTCATGGACTGCATTGATTCACTACACTCTGTTTGCTCAGTGGAAAGTTGTGATTCAACTTTGGAGATCACAGAAACGCAGAAACGCTGGCCTGGCTTGCCTTAGTCCGAACCCAACTTCAGTGCTTTCTGCACATCGTCAGTTTGCTGTTTCAGATCTCACATACCCCATGCAACGCTCAAATCCATCGCTCCGCAATCTCTGGGCTGTTGACAAGGTTGACAAGGCATGGGTGGGTATGCCTCAGTCATGGTGGGTATCACATGGTGGGTATCACATGGTGGGTATCACCATGTGGTCACGGCATCTTTTTTTTTGGCACCATGGCTGCCATGGCATCTCTCGGTTTCAACGTTTTCACCACGTCTCGCCACGATCCAAAGCTCCGGAGATCCCCAGGAGATCCGAGGCCAACGCTTGATGATAAGGATAAGCCTATCGCATCGCCACGTTTCGCCACATTTCGCCACGTTTCGCCAATGGGTCAACCAATGGGTCAACCAATGGTCCAAAGAATTTCTCAGAAATTTGGGATCTTTTTGATGGTGACTCCACGAGAAAAAATGGACTCCGGATGGCTCCAGCCTTGACAGAACTCCTCCTTGGAGATCGGGATTCCTGGCAAGTCTAGGTGAAATGTTAGGAATGTTCCAAACCCTTCCAAGCTGTTCCAGACTCCACCTCTCATCTCCTGAAACCTTTCTCAAAAAACCTTTCTTGGGTTGGGTTTTAGATGGTTTAGATGGTTTAGATGGTTTAGATATGTTTAGATATGTTTAGAGTTTAGATCTATTTCAGCACGTTTCAGCACGCTGTTTCTGTCTGAACCCTGCAAACCCCTAAGGCATTGACTCTCCGCCGCGAACGTCTTCGGCGTCTGGAAGACTCCTGAAGCAACTTCAGAACCGCAGGGGAGAACTGAGAAGTTCTGATTTGTTTCGGTTGGTTTCCCAAGAGTCCAGGTTGAGTTACCCAAAGAACTTCTGACAGGAAACATAAGCCCGAAGTGTCACGGGTTCAAACCTTCCAACTAATTAAAGATTCTTCAATAATGATACTCAACAGAACTGGAGAGAACTGCAGAGAACTGGGTCTCCAAAGAGCAACCATTCATCCATTCAAAGCACATCTAAACACTCATTCAAACACTGCACGTGCTGCACGTGCTCTTGTGTTCACTCCTTCTCTCTTCGCGACCTAGGCGAATCTCATGGCTTCAACAGACTTTCGTGATGAACTAAGCAGTTGGTGTGAAACCCGGGGGCCAAGCGCTTTTTTCTCCTTTCTCCTGTGTCAGACATGCGTGCAAAAAATAGGGATACCCCAAGATGATCATAGATGATTTCTGAATAGTAAATGGCACATAAATGGCACTAGATTCAAAATTTGATTATCTTCGATCAAATTGAGAAATCTTCGATCTTCCTGGAGGAACTGGAGCGACTGCGCGATGCCCGCGGCGCCGGCGCCAAGTTGGCCTGGCGAAACTGCGAAACTCTGATTGAATTGACAGGCCAACTGTAACTTTAACGGAGTTTAACCGTTTATTTATCTCAACTGAATTTATTGGTTTTTGTATAGTTTCACTATGTTTTACTGCTCTTTAGGAACATGATTGATATTTGGTAAGGCTTCTGATACTTTTCAGAAGAAAAAACTCAATTGAAACCTCTGAGATGTTTTTGTGTCTGAAACCGACGTTTCCCACAGAATCTTTTAAAAATTGTTGCACCAACAGCCGTGACTTGGATTCGCCGAACGCTGCCTGAGGTGCTACCGGCGGTGCTGCACCAACGGCCGGTGTCGCCGGTGTCGCTGGTGTGGCCGGTGTGGCTTGAGCCCACGGAGGCACCAAGTTGGGATCCGGAAGTTCCTGCACCTGGACGGCTGTCGAAAAACGTGGCGCTGATCTCTACCATCAACAGGGCTGATGGCGGAGGGACCACGGGACAGATTACGTCATGCCACATTTAGCCACACTAGTTGTAGATAGTCATACAATGTCATACATAGTTATTTGATGTTATGACTAGAATATACTAGATGACTTTTCTGCATATCGAAGAGATTCCTGTTTTCAGCCAGCTTCGCCTCGAAGACACTGGCGACGGGACCGGGATGGCTAGGATGGCTGGGATGGCCGGGATGGCCGAGATGGGAAGCCATCGCCACTGCGGGAAGCGCCGCAGCGGCTGCGCCCGCGGCCGCGGCCGCGCCGGGCAGGCCCGCGACGCTGGTCTCGGAGCTCACGCCCGAGGATGTGGAGAACTGCGCAGGACCGGAGCAGCGGAGCAGGACCGGAAGGATGCAGCTGGGCTGGGAACATCTGGGAACCAAAAAACATCAAAAAACCGCCCACTTGGGACTTGGGAGAAGATATTGATGGCAAATGGATGAGACATGGACAAATGGATGGCAAATGGATGGCAAATGGATGGCAAATATTGGCAAATGGATGAGAGGGTGCAACTCACTCTGAAACTATACAAACTATACACTTGTTGGAGGCATCGATGGGAACTGCAACCGCAGGATCCATGGAACACCCCAAGTGGCGCCTCGTCTTCCGACTCGATCTGAGCGGGCGTACGGGGGGGGGTTCAACGGGAGCGTTTCTGAGTTTGAATGCTGTCACAGCAGAACATCAACAACTCAACAACCCACTCATCTAAACAATCATATCATTCGCTCTGGATTTAATGGAAACAACACGCAACAACCATCCCAAACTTCGAATCATATGAATGCATCATAATGCACATCACCAAATCCGCAGGTGGTGCTCTTGGATCCTCTTGGCACCCCCACTACAGGCGAAGCTCGCTTCACTGGTGCCTCTCCATGGCTCACTTTGGTGATTGCTGCTTTCAAATCTTCCTGCCACAGCTGCCAATGTGTTGTGACAACAAACGCCACATGAAGGTTGCAGTGTATGCGGCAAAAAAAAGTGATCAAGAAAACTTGATTGCTGTTTTTGTTGAACATGTCAACGGATTGAAATTCTGAGTGTGCTGCCATTTTCGGACAATCCGATCCAACTGTGGTGTCCTGCAGAAGCGTCAGATTGGGCTCCCGAAAGTGTGGATCCATTCCGCCTTTGCCCAGCAGTTCCTGGCGAAGTTCCACCATGGCCCTGTGCCATGACCCAGCATAGTTCTACCCCGGGTTTTTTTCCACAGATGCATCAGATGCTCAGGGAAAATCAGAAAAAAATGAGAAAAAATGTGGAAAATATGTCACGGCCTCTTTTAGCTTCTCCGCTTTTTCGGGCAAATTTTCCGCTTCTGGAGGATCCTCTGGCAGGTCTGGCAGATCCGGCAAATCCTCTGGCTCTGGAGGTTCTGGAGGTAGATCTGGCAGATCTGGCAGATCTGGCAGATCCTCGCTTTTCTCAGCCTCCGAAGTCGCTTCAAATTTCTCCGTCTCCGCTGCCTCCGAACTCGCCTCGAATTTCTCCGTCTTCTCTGCCTCGGAGGTGGCTTCGAGCTCGGTTTTCTCGGCCTCGGAGGTGTCCTGGTGGGGCTCCTGGTGCTCCTGGGCCTTGAGATGTTTCCGTTTCGCCTTCGTCTTGGGACTCTTGGGACTCTTGGGACGTTTCTCCTCCTTGTCCTGCCCCAACATACTCAACGTATCTCAACATATCTCAACATATCTCAACGTATCTCAACATATCTCAACGTATCTCAACGTATCTCAACGTATCTCAACATCCCAACATCAGCATCCAATACCAACTCAATATTACATCAACATTCAACCAACATACAACCAACAGCGGATCAATCTCGAAGCAGAATCCCAACAAAGAAATTCAGTGAACATGGAAGAAAAGAAGGTAAAAACAGAACTCTTAACAAGAATTTAACAAGGCAGTTCCGTGCAGTTTAGGATGTGATAAGAATTCTTAACAAGGCAGTTCCGTGCAGTTTACGGTGTGATATATGGTGCGGCGCTTTGGTTCTCTGCCGTTCTCCGCCTTTTTCTTCTTCTTCTCTGGCATCTTTGGCGCAGTTTGCTTCTTTGCCTTAGGTGCTTCACTTGCTTCGCCTTCACTTGTGTCACCCTTCCCTTCATCTTCTGACTCCTGTGAGTACATGAGTCATGAGTCATGAGTCATGAGTCAATCATGAGTCAATCATGAGTTCATGAGACTTCCAGAGATCTCCAAAGTAATGTCAAGTTCATCAATGAAAGCTTGGCCATGCTTGGGCCATTAGATCTTTAGGACATTTTACGACATCCTCGCAGCATCTCGCAGCTGTATTCAAGTCTAGTCATTCGAGCACACTTGTGCCATGTTGCACTTGCGGGTGCCACCCAGAAACATGCGTGTTATGCTTGTGAGACTGCTTACAGTAGGACAGGTGCTGCATGATAGAAGTTTCATTATTCCCTGACCTGTTTGGAATAGCACCATCTTTGAAGATTGTTGTCAGACCATGTCAGGCCCAACCCAGGGAGGGCGGAAGAAAACTGTCAGGGGACGGTCCCCCAGGGGACGCAACAAAAAAACAACGGCCGAAAAACAGAAGATCTAACCGGCTTTGCACCGTCGGGTGTCAATGCAAAGCGTATGAAACTCGTGACATCTCGTGACATCTCGTGACATCTCGTGACCCTGAAGGGATTTTTGGCTCAAATCTTACAGCTACAGTAAGATCCTGGGAGAGAGAATTCACCAAGATGGCTCCAGACTCTATTGATCTCTATTGAATCTATTTAAACATCAAGGAATAGAATGGAATAGATCGGTGATGATCGGTGAGATGCTCGGTGCATGTCCTGAATTTTCTTCCTCATTTCCTTCTTTTCCTTCTTTTCCTTGGCTTTCACGGTCTTTCCGAGCGTTTTGTCATGTTTTTCCATGGTTTTGGCCTTTCTCTTCGACTTCGGAGGCTCCTTCTCTGCCTCGGAGGTGGCTTCGAGCTCGGTTTTCTCGGCCTCGGAGGTGTCCTGGTGGGGCTCCTGGTGCTCCTGGGCCTTGAGATGTTTCCGTTTCGCCTTCGTCTTGGGACTCTTGGGACTCTTGGGACTCTTGGGACTCTTGGGACGTTTCTCCTCCTTGTCCTGCCCCAACATACTCAACGTATCTCAACATATCTCAACATATCTCAACGTATCTCAACATATCTCAACGTATCTCAACGTATCTCAACGTATCTCAACATCCCAACATCAGCATCCAATACCAACTCAATATTACATCAACATTCAACCAACATACAACCAACAGCGGATCAATCTCGAAGCAGAATCCCAACAAAGAAATTCAGTGAACATGGAAGAAAAGAAGGTAAAAACAGAACTCTTAACAAGAATTTAACAAGGCAGTTCCGTGCAGTTTAGGATGTGATAAGAATTCTTAACAAGGCAGTTCCGTGCAGTTTACGGTGTGATATATGGTGCGGCCCTTTGGTTCTCTGCCGTTCTCCGCCTTTTTCTTCTTCTTCTCTGGCATCTTTGGCGCAGTTTGCTTCTTTGCCTTAGGTGCTTCACTTGCTTCGCCTTCACTTGTGTCACCCTTCCCTTCATCTTCTGACTCCTGTGAGTACATGAGTCATGAGTCATGAGTCATGAGTCAATCATGAGTCAATCATGAGTCAATCATGAGTTCATGAGACTTCCAGAGATCTCCAAAGTAATGTCAAGTTCATCAATGAAAGCTTGGCCATGCTTGGGCCATTAGATCTTTAGGACATTTTACGACATCCTCGCAGCATCTCGCAGCTGTATTCAAGTCTAGTCATTCGAGCACACTTGTGCCATGTTGCACTTGCGGGTGCCACCCAGAAACATGCGTGTTATGCTTGTGAGACTCCTGACAATGACATTCTATGCTTCCAAGATTAAAGAAGGTTCATTGCTGATTGGAGTAGGGCTGCTTCATGCTTGGAGAAAGAGAATCGATCTGTCCTGAGCGTCCTCCTCAACCACTCCGGCAGCCGTCCTTCTGCCATTGAGAGCCTCCTGAAGCAAAGTGCGATGGGATTCCGCACTGATTGCCGTGAAAAGACGGGATTTTCTGCCGGCCGCAAGAGATGTCCTCTTCGTGCTTCTTTTTCGACTTTTCCGAAAGCTTTGCCACCTTGGACTTCTCGGACATCTTTGACTTTTCACCTTTCTCACCTTTCTCACCTTTCTCGTCGTGCTTGTGCTTGTGCTTGGAGTGCTTGGAGTGCTTGGACTTTGCGACTTTCACCTCTGACTTCCTCTCCTTCTTCGGAGACACGGAGTCGGCTCGGCTCCCTCGGCTCCCTCGGCTCGGACTCGGAGGACTCGGACTCCTGACCCTGGCGACCTTCACATCATCTTTTACTTTCTTCACATCCTTCACATCCTTCACATCCTTTACTTTTTTCTCCTTGCGCATTTGACATCATTTGACATGACTTCCATATCTCTTCAATATCTTCAATTTGATCACTACATTTTTCAACATTTTTCAACATTTTGCAACATTGCAAGCTGTTTTAGAGCCAGGTCACCTTTCGCTCTTTGCGACTTGCCGCTGGTCGCGGACCGCTATCGCTGTCCTAAAAATAGGTGCTATCCCGGCAACTTCGGAAGCAAGTCTGCACATGTCTTTGTGCAACACTGAAGTGAACTATTAACATTTATTAACTATGATCAAATATGTCACAAGCATCTTCTGGTTCATGAAAGAAAACAACGAAAAGCGATACCGATTTGATGAATTGAAAAAAAAGGCCAAAAGTCAACACAAATTTGAGAAAATCTCTGCTCTCTAAGCCTCGTCCAGCTCCCGTCTTACTCCTGGGCGAGGAATTTCATGGAATCATGGAATGTCCAATCCGAATCGCCCAAGAGGCAATTTTGTCCAACATGTTCCAACATGTCCATGTCCAAGGCCATAACTTTTGCGAAGAGGTGGAGATGGAGATGACCTGGACTGAAACATCTGAAACATCTGAAACATCTGAAACATCTGAAACATCACAGCCAATAACCCATGCAAAATAGTAAAATGTCGTCAATGTAATCAAGATAATCAATAAAATGAAATCGATATAGACACTATGAATATGCAATATCATGCAATATCAATATGAATAGATGTGTGTAAAAATGTGTAAAGTTTTTAAAGATGTAAAAATGTTCAAAAAATCGTTTCACTCAGCCATAAACAGCCAAACACCTTGGGCATCACACGGGCTTTGCCGTCTCTTTGGAGAGCCTCGAGAGCGCCCTCGAGAGCTATCCGTCCGATTGCTTCCTGGGCTTCACATGTGGATATTCCAACACTCCCGAAGTGACTCCCAAAGTGACTCCCAAAGTGACTGGACGTCTCACGATGTCTCACGTCTTTCACTTTCTTTTCACGTTCAATTCAAGTCTTCAATTCTTCGGTTCGACTTCAAGTTCAACTCGTTCATTCTCACTCCAACTGCTTCACGATGGGCAACAAATGTTGAAAACAGACAAAGAATGACAAAGACCACACGCAACGACATGAAAAACAGCTCAGTCTCCGGTTGCATCGCGACGTGGAGCAAGCCGTGGAATCCCCCGCGGCATGAGCTGTTGACCGATGTTGACCGTACGGACTCCGTGACCGTATCTGCCTAGCTGTTTAGCTGTTCTTCGTAGCTGTCCTTCTGATGACCGTTTCCTTTTTTTTCCTTCAGTTTCTGTGAAAAATGTCGTTCTTTTGGGATGTTCTGAGAACGCATGCGTTGGCGGACATCACCTGATGCTTAGAGCAAAAACAATCCACACACGAAGAGACATCGCATTTTCTCTCAAAGTTTCACGTCGTGATCTGGGCGGCGCATGCAGCATCTGTCGGTGCAATTTCTCCTGCCTACCTCGTGTGGGCGAGACGGACCCCGGCCGCTCAGCTGTTTTCACCCACGCGCGCAAGTCGCGGGCGGCGGTCGAGACGACCCTGCAAGCAGCTACGCCTACACTAAGCTAACGAGCCACTTGAGCCAAAAGGCATACACTGCACACTGTACAACGCAACAAGTGAAACACAAAAGACAGCTACGGTGGACCTACAGCAAGGCTTAGCTACGTCTAGCTACACTCGCCCCTCAGCTGGGTTCAGCCACGTGCAAAGCCAGCTTTTCAAGTGCGGTCCACCGCGTAGTGTCGCGAGACGCAGACACCACCGCGAGGCAGACTGAAAATGCGATGCCATACAGCACCAGATTTCAATCCTCCCCTTATTGAACTTCAGCAGCTGAACTGGCTGTGCCGACCCTGCGCCGGTCGAAGCCTTGCTCTGTCTCGAACTGGTCGATATTCGAACCATTTTCAAATGCTTCTTCGAAGGCTGACTCCCAGCGACGGACCAGCTCTGTTCCAAAGTTTACGCTGATGCCTATGCTGGCTTCCTTGTTGGCCTTCGAGCTCGTGGTGAAGTTACAACTTCCAACCAACATATCGACCTTGTCTCCAGGGTGGCACCAGATCATGACGCTCTTCGCGTGATGAAGCCCTTGGAGTCGGCTGCCAACGCGCACGGAGCGACCATCACTGCGGTAGGCCTGATTGACGCCTAGACCCGAAGCCAGTTTCACCTTGGTCCCTACACTTCTCAATTCTTTCAGGACCTGAAGCTGCTGTTTGGTTTTTCCGGACGCCTGCGAACGATCGCAGACTAAGTAGGTATCGCAGCCACGGCTTGCTGCTGACCTAACGGCTTCCACGACGTCCGGCTGATCGAAACTATAGGCCCTAATGCAAGCCTTGCTGCCCTTGCCCAGCTTGCTGAAATTGATCGTGATCCATTCAAAAACCTCGCCATCTTTCAGGAACACTACCTTGGCTTGGTCTCCGTCTCCACTGTGGTGGGCATGTTCGGGCAGCGCCAACAGGCTTTGCTCAGGCCTTTCTTCGACCAACCCAGTATCGAGGCTGAGGGATTCCCTGATGACCTTCCTTTTGAACGCACCATCATCCCTTTCTGAACTCCTTGCGGCCTCCTGGGCCGTTGGGTGGGCGGACGCAGCGCTCACTGTCAGCTGCTTGGCCTTTCCGACCAGTCCTTGGAAACAGCCAGAAAAGCTAGCCACAGAGCCTGCTTGGCCCAATGCTGCTTGGCCGCGTCGCACAGCGACGGGTTGTTCTGGCCTGCTTGGAAGCGCAGTCAGCGCTGCCAAGGCTGCTTGGGTGTGCGGGCAGCTTCCTTTGCTCAAGAACGTCCGGCAAGCGCACCCTGCCTGCCGACCTGCTATCCGCACCCTGTGAAGACCCTTGGTGCCGGCCACGTCCCACAAGGTGACCTCTCCTCGCAGTTCCACGAGATGGGCCTTGTCCGTATTCCCGTGGCCATAGCGGCACCAAAAGTTCAGAACCTTACTGGACAGGTACCAGGTCATCATTACCTGGAGGGCGATGCCTGCGGCGGCGATCAGCATCTTGAGCTGATTTCCGCCTTCTGTCACGATCTCCTGGTAGGTTTCCACAGTGGTGGAGATCGCGTCCTGGATGGCCTCCGAAGTGACCGCGACCACTTCTTCTGACTCCTTCAGAACCGGGAAAGCCATCAGGATGGCAAACGCTCCTGCCATTTGGTTAAGGTTCCAACCATTCCCGTTGGAGGCTCTCTTGGTCTGGTTACGGCTCTTCCGGCTGATGGACCAAGAGTACACCTTCTTTTTAGGCTTTTTCTTCTTACCCTTCTTGTGCGCCTTCTGGCTACCCGCGCGAGGTCGCGAATACGCAGACCCCGCCGCGTGCGCCACCTTGTGAAGGCGCTTTGCCACACCTGAGCGTCGGCCGACCTTTTTCTTGTGCTTGGCGCCACCCCTTTTCTTTTTCTTGGACCTCAGGTGGAGACCGTGCCGGGCTTCATCTTCCTTTTGAAATCCCGTAGGTCCCATGGCCTGGGATCCTCGACCGACCTTGTCATCCTCATCTGAAGACGGCAGGTCATGCTCAGGTCGGGCACGGCTGCACTTGTAGCACACATGCCTGAAGGCGAGGTTCTCGCTCTGACACCTGGCACAATTCCATTGCGAGGACCTGAGAGCCGCCTCCAGAGCAGTGCGACGACTCCTTTTCTGACCCTTCGCAGGTCGGCTTCTAGCCCAAGCTCGGAAGTTGGCTGCATAGGTCCCTTCGCACCTTGATCCCTTGGACCATCCCACGCAGACGTCACTGTCGGGCGGTGCGACCGTTCCACAAAGGTCACACTCCCAGCTGCCGGCCGCGTACGTCAGCTCCGGCACACCATCATCGACGTGCCAGGCTGCGCCCACTGCTAGGCGCGGTACTCCAGCCACCGCCTGCCTTTCCAACCGACGGCGAGCATCGTCTTGACCCACCTCCTTGCGGTGCAACGCTGCACGCTTCCGCGCACGCAGCTCCCGCTTTAGCTGGCGGATAGGCTCTTGAGCCCTCACTCCTGCTGCAAACCTCGAGTCCGCCCCTTGGACTGTGGGTTGAGCGACTCCAGGAGCCAACGCCGCTTCGAGCCTATCGTCGGCGCCTTCCACAGTCTTGGCGACCGCCTTTCCGTACTCGTAGGCTTCGTACGTAGGCTCTGGTTTCCCAGCTCGGCGGCGAATCACCGCAGTAGCAGTTGCGCTTGCCGTGATTGCCTTGATGTTGCGATCCAGCTCCCGCTCACCTCCTTCTGTGGGGCGATCCTTCTGCTTCTCGACCAGTCTCGAGAGGGCTGGAGATCGTCCGAACTGGTGGGTCAACTCATCAACTGCAACCCCGGCCAGCGTGTTCTCCACCGCCCCCTGAGCCCACGTCCGACGGCTTGACGACCAGATATCCTGCAGCTCTTCCTTCGACATTTCACCACGTTGGCGGTTCGGCTCTCCGCTCTCTTCTCCGCGACCAGGCCGCGAAGGCGCAGACCCGGCCCGCGGGGGCTCCTCCTCGGTTTTTACTTCTTCGGAGTTTGGGCCAACAGGGGACTCCTCCTTTACTTCTTCGAAGTCTGGGTCAACAGGGGACTCCTCTTTGACTTCTTCGAAGTCTGTACCGACAGGGGGCTCCTCTTTGACATCCTTTCCGTCATCTGGAGCCGCGGGTGCAACGACCTCTTTCCCTTGTGAGTCGCGAACGACCCCTGAACTGCTTGCTTGTTCTGGTCCAGTTGCACGCCCCTCAGGTCGAGGAGTGCTCTCTGCTTCACCTTCCGAAGAGGAGCTTGTCGTATCATACGAATCTCCTGTTGGCAGCGGCTCTGCTTCTGCAAAGCCTACATCCGGAGTCCACAAGGTCGCTCCGAGACCTCCCGAATCATGGTAGTAGACTCGGATGCTTTCAAATGCTCTGGCCGGAACATCAGACGACAGGATTACTCCATCCTTTCCTTGGCGGAGGGAGCAACTGGCGTCGCGCAGGTCGTCTATTGTAGACAGAACAGCCACATCTGCACCGCCTCGGACACCTGCTTTATTGCCTTCGACCCCTTCCGCGTTGGCGGACCAGTGGACGAACAGCCGCCCTTCTCCGACTCGACCCGTTCCGCCAGCAAGCAACCCCTTTTCTGCTATTCCGGCAACACGCTCCTTGAACGTGCCATGAAGGAGTCTTGTGCTACCGGGCAGGCTGACCTTGCTGGTGAAGTCATGAGGTCGAAGCCCGCTGTCCGAGGAGTGGCCCTGTAAGGCGCGCACCCAGTCCCCAAGACTTTCCAGGCGCACCTTGGGACCGCGGCTTTGCCACTCAACAGATCTCCTCACGTCTTCGACCGCGACTCCGACTCGGTCCGCAACCAGACGGATAGGTGCCCAACCATCCGCTTGCAACTGGCCACGCATCCCGCATTCTCCATGTCGGAGGGCCCGCGTCAGGGCATACTCCAGGTCGCCCCAATTCTTCTGCGGGTTCCTTCGACCACGGTGCGCCTTTTTCCACGACGCCATTGTGCCGCGGTCGAGTGGCGAACCGCACACTCGACCCGCGGCTTCGCGGTCAGGTCGCGAAACGCTAACCTGACCCGCGATGGGTTTCCCCTGCTTTGGTATTCCGGTCCTTCGGCAGCTGGCGAACCGAACCACGCGACCACCGACTTGCTCACCAAACCCAGACCCAACCCGGAAGCTGGGCTTCGAGCCAAACAGCTGCGGGAAACCAGACCTGGACCCAGACAACCACCTGGACCCAACCAACCACCTGGACCTAACCAACCACCTGGACCTGACCAACCTCACGACCAGGAAACCTAACACAACCTTGGAACCACGACCACCAAAACGCGTCGTGGGGGAAAGCCGCCCTACAGACCGCGCTACAGCTCTGGTGGGGTGATTATGGTCCGATTCCTTTTCGTCATGCTTAACCTTAGGGGTCGAACCTACATTCCCTGGTTTGATACCTAGGGCATCCATAGCTTCCTTTGGGGGTTGACCGACTCCTACAGGTGAGGCGCGCATCGCTCTTTTGATCTCTTCGTCGAATTCCTTGTCAGTCATGAACTTTTTGTCTATGACTCTTCCCGTTCGCACTGTGAGATCGTCCACATAGGCGATCCACTCCTTGGTATATTTCATTTGCCTGCCTCGTCCTGGACCGAAGGCACGGTCCACGACGTAGGAGAAATCATCCGGCCCGTTCACAGGCCCGAACGTCAGGCAAACGGGGAGAAACTTGCCAGAGCGTGCTACGATGGCTAGCACCTCCATAGCCCTCCTGGTATTCTGGATTTGGTTGAACCCCGTGACCGCGTCCACGAAGGAATACCAGATGGACCCCGCACATTGGGACAGGACGTCCGTTGCCTTCCTGCAGTAGTATGTGCTCCTCAGCACCCGGGCATTTACGCGCCGGTAATGTACCACCAGGCGTCTCTTGCGACTCCTCTTGTGGGCTGGTGCCTCCTTTGTCGGAAATGGTGGGGAACCCCAGGCAGACGCTCCACGGACCAATTGGCCACGCTGCACCTCTTCCTCCAATCGCTCATCCACCCACGCTGCACTTTCTCCCTTGAGGGAATGGGGTTGAAGCGATACCGGGGGTCCTGTTGGGACGCAGTCATGGGCAACGCTTCGGACCGTAGTCCTTGGCGTGCCTTCTAGCCAAAAAGCCGCCGCCTTCCTGGATAGGACATCTCTACAGGCCCCGAGATCGTCTGCATTCAATCCCGCAGTAGGAGGTGTCGCGTCAACACCAAACCCAAGTCCATCGACAACCTGCTTCCGGTATTCAGGCGTCCTCCTCGGATCATCCACCACT